TAGAAGTTATTAATCTTCAGCCTAACAAAGAAGTTCTAACTGGAACGCCTCAGCCTTTGATAGGTCTCATGAACTTTGCATGTGCAGCAACTAAGTGTGATTCCTCTGTGGGTGCTGGTGCCCTGTGACACTGTCCCCATGTGCTCCTCTTGCAGGGGAGATACTAACACTGCAGAAGATGGGACATGAGGAGGGCTGCTGTTGTGTCGGCGCAGGTCAAACGCTCTTCCAGCAGGTCTCTCTTAAGTTGCAAGGCAAACAAATATCTAGAAGGGAGTTCAAAAGAAGACAGAGATCAACTTCAAATGTCCTCTGAACGTAATACAGACTTGTCTCTGCAGCAAGACAGCAAACAAGCAGCAGGAAGCAGCAGCAACCCAACAGTGAGAAAAATGCAGGTCCCTCACGAAATAGGCAAAGTCACAAAAGGCCATTCACCCAACAAGTTGCCACCAAGCAAAGGTCAGACGACAAACCAATTCAGCAGACTGAGTCACACACATTAGACAGTACACAGAAAGTGCTGAGCACGCAGAGGCACTCTGATGCGAACAATAAAAAAAGAAATGAGCTTTTTCAGGCATGCCATATACCTACATGATTACACTATCTGTAGCAATATCTTCAAGGAGGAAGTTCACAAATCTGTATTACTTTTGTTATACATACAAAACTATGTTTACAATTTTGCATGAAGTAGCAGAAGTATCCAATTAAGACACAGCTTAAAATGGCTGTGAAAAACATTCTTTTCTAAGTAATAGACTTTATTTTTACTGCAGTTTTAGGTTTACAGATAAATTGAGTGGGAAGTACAGATAGCTCCCATTCCCACCCCTGCCCCTGCACAGTCTCTCCTATTATTGACATGTTACATTAATGTGGAAATTTGTTAAAATTATGAATCAATATTGACATATTAACTCAACTTTACATTAGCATCTCCTCTTTGTACTGCACAGTTCCATGGGTTTTACCACATGCACAATGTCCTGCACTCATCATTGTCTGTAAAATTTTTTTTAATGGGTTGATAATACTTGGTTTTGGCTAGGATCTGAGAAACGGGTACTCTAGCATACCACTGGTGAGAATGTAACTAGAGAGGGCAATCTGAGAATATTTATATATTCATTTATTCCATCAACAAGTAATTATTGAGCATGTATTGTGTTCTAGGTACTGCTCTTAGAGATGGAAATACAACAGTGAACGAGACAAAGTCCCTGCTCCCATTTGGAACTTACACTATGGAGCAAGTTATTAAAATTTACTACATTCTCTTAAAATTTAAGATGTGCATACCATCTAACTCAGCAATTCCATTTCTACGAATATTTCCTACAGTAATATTCCCTGAGTTCATAAAGATGCACAAACAATGATGTTTCTTGGCAGCATTATAACAGAAAAAAACTGGAACTAATCTAAATA